AGGATTGCATTTGATACAAACCTATACTCAGATAACACAGAGTGGCATCCAAGTACGGGTCTGCCCATATTGAGATTTTTATATGCGACCACGACAGTATCGTGATCTGAATACATTTTGTAGAAAAATAGTAATTGATTCCGATCTAGACGAGCAGTAGTAGGGCAGAGTGTGTAATAATATATAATAGATAGATATAACTTTGTGTATAGTTGTGTAAATGTAATAATAAGTAATTTTATAATATATATTTTTATTGTATAATAACGAAGGAGTGTAATATGTCTATTGCTAAAGAGGCGCAGTAATAGATTACTTGTTATGTGTATATATAACGTTTTTGTAATGTAGCATAGGCTTCTATACGCAGGGTTTATATAGCCATGCAAAAAAAATAGTGTACTTAAATTAACATAGTTTAGAAAAAAAGAGTAATGAAATATAAGATGACCTAGTCATTTTTTTAGGAGTTGTAGATGTTCTTCACTTTTCACAAGTATATGGGGTGCACCTTCCTTTTCTCTTATGTAGACTTTGTCATTTATAACCCAGCAGAATAAATATCCTTCGGTTTTTATGAATTGCCGAGTTAGGTAGTATAACTGCTTCGTACATTGTGACAATGATTCCGAGATGTACAACGGTGTTTGGGAACTGTTTATTTTTAAATGAACACTGTTTAATTTTGCACTTGGGTTTTCTCTATTGTACTGCTTAGCGGCCTTTAAAATATTCCATTTAGTTAGTGTGTCCGAAAATTCAATATTTATTGTTGAAGCTGAAGAATTTTTGTAAGCGGGGAATCGATGCACATCGCGTATGCGATCTTTTAAATGTTCCATACCGAGAAACTTTGTCAAATTATATGCCATATTGAAAAGGTCATTTTTCTTTTCGTTCAAAACTTTTGGGGTATTTCTTATTTCGATACAGGTTTTTTTATATGACCGTTCAACGCCACTTAACCTAATATCCAGCTTAATCAGTTTGTCGCTTAATGATTTTTGTTCATCATCTATTTCTAAAAGTTTATTTTGCATCGAAGAGACTTGCTCATTGAGGGTAGACAATTTGGACTCAATTTCTTGGTTGGATGTTTGCACCGAGGTTAATTTGGTGTCGATGTCATTGATTCGCATATGTAAATCATCAAAAAGCAGGCTTTGTTTTTCTGAAAATGTTTCAAACATTTGGGAAAGCATTTCCTGCATTTGTGTCCTAAAGGATGTCATATCTATCATCTGTTCGCTCGATAATCGGCGACGTTTTTCTCCACGAATTGTTATGTTGCCAATTAGCGACTGGTCATCGTTGGTATCATTTATCTGTGGAGCCGAATTAGTTCGGTGATAATCAGATGGTGGAGATCTTAACATTTTTTCGCTTTTCTTAAAGAGGGTAGTCTTGCTTAAAAACACAACTTCGAAGTTTGCTATTATTATGCAGCGGCGTTTATAGGTTTCGCATGCGCATCTATACCAGCCAATAGACAGCTGGGTCAACGCGCAGTCAAGCCAATCATCTAGTCGTGCCGTTTGCGAAACTGGGATAGGTGTATAATGTCGTCTTACTCACTCAGAGGAATGACGTCTAGCAGTTTATGATGGCCTGGTACATCGAATGATTTAACACACTTTATTTCAATTAAAATAATTCGAAACTTTTTACTTCACTTTACAACAAAATACACGTCTACACGCTGTCGAATCGGGGAGAGGAAGGATAAACGATTAACAACTGCTCAAGGCCTGCCTTATTGATTTATCATTGAAATTTTCATTTTATTTTACTTATTGTAGCCAAAATGAACTATGTATATTTGTTGTTCACAGTTGAATCAAATAGGACGGATCAGTTCATTAGCCGGACAAGAAAGGGCTCAACGATAATAATAATGTCGGAGCAGCCAAACAGGGGAACAAACTTGCAGTGGGTACTTTATACAAGTTAGTCGACTTCTGTTTATTGTATGGTATGTTTGCGAGTGGTTGTTGGTTCAATGGTAGAAAATAATTGTTATATAATATTAATTTTTATTGCTTTAAGAATAAGAAGCAAGCCAATAGTGCAACAGAAAAAATGCACAGCGACTGTTGCGACCAACAAGGGAAGTGGATTCCAACACAGCTGCCGTACATACATACGGGTGATTTGATTTATTTGTATCTTCAGTTTCCTAGACATAACGATATGCCTGTTCTTATTATTTATAAGAGAATCATTTCACCGAGCGTTGGATATCAATCAGTATGATCAAGTTTAGTCACTTGTTTCGTCGAATGTCTGGCTTCGTGTCAATAGATACACCGCGATTTCCTCAACATGGGACCATTTTGGACATATTATCTACGTCTAAGATAAAAAATAACAATTCCCACTACGACCCGATGTTATGGATTGCGAGTGTCGCGTAGACTACAGTCAAATCCTCAAAGTCCGTTCACAGATACAAGAAACGTATTGAGTAAATAGTTATTAAACTTTCTTAATCCCTTTTCAGCATCTTTCAAAAAATTCGTTCTTTCGAAGCAAGAAACCTTCGAAGGTGGATAAGGATGAGGCAGTGTCGGAGTAGACTTTTTCCAGGTGAGGATCTCATAAATTACTAGTCTCGTCACGCCATTATAGCTAAGTTGATTGTATTGGCTTGAATTGTTGCCCTCTCGTTTAACGTCTATTTTCCCTGAAATATACTACATAGGCCACTATGGGGCTGTGCAAAAATTAAGGTCACATAAATGAAAAAAAAAAGCTAAATCATAAAATCCTATTGTAATAATTATTAAACTAATAATTTTATTAATTCTAAATGAAAAATATAATTTCATCTCCCATAATTTAATATTCAAACAATTTCTACGAACGATATAAGACGTTCTACGAACGGACGTTAATATGATGTTCATAAGTGTGCATAGTTACCTACATGAATAAATGATTTTTGACTTTGACTTTGACTTATAACATCCCTACTCCATTAAAAAAAAACTTTTAATATCCCAGCATTATAAGATTTTGTATTTTGATAATAAATTACTAACCCATAAGAAACTAAAGCAAGACCAACCTAAAAAAATGTAATAATATTTGGACCAATAATTATTAATAATATTATAGAAAATACAAATACAATATTAATAAAACGTATTAAATTTCGTTCTCCACTTATATATATCTATTGTCTAGAGTAAACGACAGAAGAAGAAATTAATAATACAAATATTATAAATAAAGTTAATATTCAATCTAATAAAACAGAAAAAACAATATTTATTCTTCTGAAAGAAATTAATTCTCATTCTAAAAATAAAATTTTATTATTTATACTCAAAAAATGCTGAAAATTATATTTTATAATATTAATAAAAAAAAAACTAATAAAACGAATAGATTTTTTTCATTATTAATAACTTAATGTATCTGTACTATTTATTGTGGTTTAGAAGGCGTGGTAGAGAGGAGAGTTGTGAACGGGACGCGTTTGACAGATTATTTGAATTATTTTGTATATATATATATATATAATTAAACGTAGTATAAATCATTGTTTTTGTGATGTATAACTGCGGGTAGTTTACAAAATGTTTAAAAGTAATGTTCGTGTTATTCGATGACGTCAGGCTAACACCTGGTCGGTTGTTTGTGAATTGTATAAAAGGGGGTGCGCTGTAAAGCGGAGAGGGATATCCGATCGCCTGCAAAACCGCGTTTTACCCGCGGTGCACCCCCGGACGCCGGTGCGCGTGACTAGATCCCGCCGGCGACCAGCTTCCATACAACCACGAACGCCGATCCCGCATCCATATCCGCTGGCTTGCCGCGAGATGCGGGGGCGTTCAACTCCACGATAAACGACTCCAGAGACCGCCTTGTATCGGCAAGGCGCGATTGATCTTCCCTTGCAGAGCCCAAATGGGCTGATCAAGGAGGTCGCGAAGCAGCAGGAGAAACACACGGCGGCGAGGGCAGTTGCTCTTGAGAAATCGCACGGTAAACGTTGGTGGAACGTTGTTTGGAACGTTAGAGGTTTCAGAATATGTTTAAAATCCTATATCTGTATTTATACCTATAATGCGAACGTTGGTTGAACGTTGGATGGTTCAGGTATGATGTACATTATTATATTGTAATAAATAGGTGGTGATATATTATGTACTTTTTTATTATATTGAATTGGCATCAATATATGTCAATTAAGTATCGTAACCTTGTGTAATATATAGATAAATATCTTCAAAATGAATATATAAATGGGGTACCATTATTTGTTAGATTCCTAGACGTTTTTATACAATAAATGTGTTGCCGTTATTATGGGGAATACGTTGCTGACTGATTATAATATTTTGATACACCGAGAAATAAAAAGCACAATGAAGAGCTTCAAGAATAATAAACACTTTACGTGAAAAGATTCGTCAATTGAAGAAAACTTTTGAAAACATTAATATTGTTTACGTGTTATTGCACATGAAGGCACTATATAATTTAAACATCGAAAATAAATTGAAAAAAAAATTTGACTCGGGCAGGACTTGAACCGTCATCGTCAGCGTTCCGTGCTGTTGCTCTTACCAATTGAGCTACTGAGACCCACACCTCATCGTCGAATTCTGTCAACTTATCGATACATGCACCTCTCGCGCATTGTAATTTCAACCTTAACACACGGTATAAATAAAATTTTAGAGAAAGTATTTTATAATGATGAAGTCTCTTCTCGTAGGAGGTAAGGGTTTTGTACAAAAAGATCGCAACACGTAGACGAACGCTATATAGCAAAATTGTTTTTCGGGAAAACTCAGGAACATTAACGAATTGTATTTTATTCAATTTTTATATAAAATATCGAACGATTTAAAACAAAATATTTCAGTGTCAAATATGATCATGTCATGCAGCTGGTTTTGTCATCTTTAGGGGAGCGCGGATCACGTTTCACCGGGATGGTGAGTGGACCCGTGTTTCGGTCGAAGGGCGAGACGCGATCTGTTACGGGGTCAGACTGGTGGACGAGGTTGTCCATTTCGACCTTTCTTGCAGCCTGAAAACTTGCTTCTAATATTCTGAATGGACAGCCAAGAGTCTGGACTCCCGCGCACGCATTTCGTCGACGGCGAGTCGCGTCGGTGTTCTTTCAGGTCGTAATCCAACGTCACACGCACCTTCACGGCGCCCGCGCCGAACGGAACCGGCAGTTCGAGTGAGCCGCGATGTGACTTCTTCGACATCCTTCGTTCGTCGTCGACGAGGCCTACCGAACGACCTCGACCGCTCTCCAGGAATGCCTCTCGCTCTCTCAAAATGACCGATATTTTATCGAAGCTTGGTTCGTTTTTTATCGGGGAGGCGACGATCCGAGAAAAGTCGGCGTGGGCCGACGTATGAAGGCTCCGAGGAGTGTCTCTCTGATCTCTCGGCCTTCTCCGATGTAGTCGCTCGGCGAGACTAGACTCTCGACAGCGGAGCGGAACCGCCCCGAGCCGTGGTGGGGTCTCGCACCAGTCGTTCTCTTCCTTGCATTTTCGGCGAGGACAGGCCGACTGAGTAGACTTTTTTAATTTCATGGTATTGAAGAGGCGGGTCGTTAGGCTCTCTTTAGTAACACTGTCCGATTTTGTTGCTTTCGCGTTCGCACTTCGGTCGATTTCCACGAAAACCCGCGGTCGATGGGCGCAGGGGTCCAGACGACGTCCGCCTTGAACGTCGCAGCCTTCAGACGAAGCCAGCCCTACGGGCTCCGGCGGAGGAGGTGTACGGTCGGCTGAGCAGGCGCGAGGCGCGTTAGGCGTCTTTTGACACATATAATCGCGTCCATCGGTGGCGCGAGCGCACGTTCGCTCGCCCGCCAGCGTGTAGTGAGGTATTGCGGGAGAAGGAGAGACTGGGCCGGTAGCGTGCCGGGCGGCCTCGCTCTCGTAGTTAGTGCGGCGCACCTTTTCGGCCGCAGCGAGACGGCTCGCCACGTGGTCGAGCCGCGTGCTGCATTCACCTCTATCTTCGCGTTTGCACGGGTCGGAGTGACCTTCCCGCCTTGCGTCCTGTAAAAACACCGCTTCTGTTAAGAGTAAACCACTTTTGCGTCGTATATGTTAAGGTATACGAAAGTATGGGTCATATTTGGAAATTTGAAGAAAATAAAAGGAGCATTAAAGACCTTTGTGAATTGACGATTTTGGCAGGTAAGAGCGCAGGCGGGCGGTGTCTCCGGGCAGGGCGGTCGTTTAGAAGCTGGCGGCGCACAGCATACGACGCGCACGGCTCGAGGATCGCAGTCGGCGGGGCGCCTACAGGGGGGTGGACGCGGGGACTCGCAAGGCGGGCAAGCGGGTGGTTCGGTCGGTGCGCACGAGTCGCGAGCCCCCGAAGTGGTCGAGGCGCGAAAAGTGCCTCGCGAGCCCAAAGCGAATGCCAGCGCGCGGCTGCAGCCGGTGGCTCGTTTCAGGGCCATGTCGCAGTCAGTCCACGCGAGGTGCGGACGCGAAGTGCTCGCCAATGTCCAGACGGCCGAGACTTACGTATTTTATCTATTTAATCTAGATGGCTTATTCTTTGGTATTGTAGGAATACCAATACAAATACTATACGAATAAATGAACGTAGAACAAGCACGACCTCTTGTTTTCGCAATCATAGGGGTAAAATGGGGTAGATGTTGATTGGTAAAAGGGATCGATTTTCAAATTAAAGTTAGATCCTCTTTTATAATAGTTCATGTTTCTGAATTCTTTACAGTTTTGACGCGCACTTTTTCAGAGGTTTTGAATGCTGTACAACATACAATGATTCGAAGTAGATTTTCACATAAGTATCCGACTATGCCATACCTGCAAAGAGATTTTTGCCTTTTATTTATTTATTTAATTCTTCATTGCAACAAATACAATGTATATATACATGATTCCTTAAAAATATTCTTAATAATACAATTTTTAAGATACATTATTCTAACCAGTTATATAGTGCAATGGGCGGCCTTATCGCTATAGAGCGATCTCTTCCAGGCAACCCTTACCTACCTTTTTGATTAAGTTCTTAATCGGTTAGTATCGATTTCGTTTCAATTTATTTAATTGAAAAAGTGGTAATAGGTACCATAAATTACCCATATTCGTCTGTCATTGGATTATTAGTGTCGGTCTTATATTCTGTTTTAATTTTAGATTATTATAAAAATCACTCACATGCAGAGCGTCCGTAGTGAGAACGAGAAGTGAGCGGCACAATATTTTGGTGCAGTTAGAATGCGTTACGGGCGCCGGCAACAACGCTACTATTGACGGCCGATCGTGTCGCAAAGTACCGGCAAGCCGGCCGCTGCGAGCAGACCACACCAAGACGTCACCGGAGGCGTCCCCTCTAGGACTCACTACATAGTCGTGGTTAAGATGAGGCTGCACGCGATAGAATCTCGACCAAAGGGAAGTTCCGGGAGACTCTAAGTGCTGCACGACGCGAAGCGAAGGCAGTGACACGCAAACGACGCCACCGCCGCTGCAGCTTACCCAAAAGCAACGGCCTCTGTATAAAAATCGAAATACGCTTAGCCGAGTCGATATAAGCACTATAATAGTGCAGTTTACTGTGACAAAACACATACCCAGGATGCAAGGTCACGCCTAGCGCGACCCCGGGGAGCGGACATTCGGCAAAGGGTGGTTCGCACAGTGAACGCACTTCTTCTTCCCGCAAATGGGCGCCCTCTTCCCGCTCGAGTTGACGCTCTCGGCGAGCTCGGAGTTCCCGAAGACGGTCGACGATCGGGACACTGACGCGGAGAGGAGGCACGACGACCTCTTCGGGAAGTCGCCAGGCCAGCGCGGCCCTAGCTTCCCCGCGAACGCCCTCTCTCGATCCTCCGCACACCACGAGTATGCGCCCTTCGTCACCGCTTCTCTGAGATAGATTTCAGGTACACTAGGGTAGAGTTCTAGAAAGTGGAATTACCTAAGGAAATACCTTTTGATGTCATCACTCACTTTACGTAAGCAGCGATAATAGGCCGCGCGTAGTTCGACGTTTTCTTGCGGATCGTCCCTTTCGGTGGCTGTGGGCACCTCTGCAACAATAGAATGTCTACGCGATTGTGTCTCGGCGGTGATCGAAAGTAGGAGAGGAATTCATTCGCCGCTCCAGCTACACTCACGTGATGTTGGCGGCCGCCTCGTTGTAGACGCGAAGTAGCAACTTCAGAACCCCCGCGTGCTCCGAGTGAGTCGCCTGCGCGACGCTGTTGAGCCAGACGGCCGTGGTGGCGTGTCCCGGGGCGAGAAGGCGGACGTGCATCGTAAGGAAGTGCCAGTCGTTCACCCAGCAGGGACACGTGCCCGCCGAACACGACGAGCGACACAACACAGCCCCGGCGCCCTCACAGTCGACTGTAAGTAATTCGGTAAAATAGAGAAACTTATGCGTCAGGGCAAAAACTTGTCTCCGAGTTTTCTATGTTAGCTTTACAAAGAGCTGACGCTACTTGCGGGATCGAGCACCACGACTTCCCAGCGGTCGGCAAGCAGCATCTGGCCAGCCACGAGGAGGCGATCGCCGCTGGGTGCCCACGCCACCGATCCTCCGTCGCCCCACCTCGCGCCGCTCAATGTGCCGCTACGCATCGGTCGCCACTCGTCGCAGTCACAACTCTCTTCGTCTCGCATTCTGCCGACGAACGGTCGGCGCTCCCACACCTCTCGATCAGAAAAATTCAAATAAAAGGCCAATTAAGGCATCTTCAAGTCACTAAACAACCTGAGGCAGAACAGTAGAAACAACTTAAGTAGGTACATACAGTAAGAAACGCTCGTTCGGCCAGAATCGCGAGCCTCGTATTGGAACTGTTTAGAGCCGCGTGGAGTAGACTGTTTGAGCTGGATATTTGGCCAGGGGGCGAAGGCACCGCCGCAACCTCGAGAAGTCGCCACCTTGTCGACGACAGCGCGGCTTCGCGTTGCCAGGTCCAAGTTTGCCATGACTCTGCGTCCAGAAAATTATTTTCAAACTTTTTTTTAAATATGTATTAGCGGCTTATAAAAACATGCAATTATCTATACTAATATATAAAGCTAAAGAGTTTGTTTGTTTGAACGCACTAATCTCAGGAACTTCTGGCGCGAATTGAGAAATTTTTTTGTTTTAGTTGGACCATTTATTGAGGAAGGCTATAGGGCATATAATGCGCGGTAATTATTGGGATCGAAGAAACAGCGGGAAATGTGGAAAATCCGAGGAAAATTATTTATCGTTGTAGGTTACCGTTGCGTATGCTGTGAAAACGGTTCGAGATACCCAAAAATATATTTTGCTTACAAAATACAACATAATGATTATTTGGATTTTTTTTTAAATTATTACTTTGAAAACATTAATACTTTTTACATGTTATTGCACATGAAGGAACTATATAATTTTACGTCACGTATATTTAATTAAGTGAATTTTAGGTCTATTCGTTCAACATTTTAAGTCATCCATTGTTTTCTAAGTGACTGTTTGTTTCTTTTCCAAATAAAATAAATAAAAAAATATATAATTTAAAAATCGAAAATAAATTGAAGAAATTTTCGACTCGGGCAGGACTTGAACCGGCATCGTCAGCGTTCCGTGCTGTTGCTCTACTAATTGAGCTACCGAGTAGCGTAGGTTTTTATATTTTCAATGAACTTTCTTTCATTGAATACAAACATTTTAACACTAGTTACACTAGTGTGTTATGATGAAGCAAATAACGATACAGCGCGTGGTTGCTTGGTACATATAAAAAGCACTGCTTAGTTAATATCTTTTCATTTTAGCGCTCTATTCATAGCGTTTTGTATCTCTCTCTATCATAGTCGTTCTATTGTATCTATATGAACTAAATAACTTGGGCTCCAATGGCAATTATTTAGAACTATGCAGACTTCTGGATCGTTAAAAAAAATGTTTCGCGTAGAACAAAGCCGGGCAACTGCGATCATTCTTTTATAAATTGTGGCCATGTGCTGCCTTCCGTCTATTTTTTTCTCTCTTACGACGCCTAGGTCACGCCTACTTTATACTGTGGATTCGATTGCCGACATTTAGAAATTAGAAAAAATTTAAAATCATTTGCTTTGGATCGTGAGGAAACTAGTGCTCGTTACTGAAATCCAAACCATTATCTTTTTATTTTAAATTAAATAAGTCCTAGCGCAACACATTATCATCATTAATAATAATATAGTGTAGTTTTAGAGATGATATATTTTATTGTACCACCCAAGACACTTCGGCTTACCCCTCTTCTTCACATTCCTTCTGCTAAAACAAATTACAGGCAAAACAGATTCCTGGTGCGCGCCTCCACAAGTTTCAATAAAATATGTAAACAGCACGACATTGATCCCTTTTTATTAAGTGTGCCCTTGTCTAAAAGAATCTTATTTCACATTTTTTCAAATGCCTATAGTACTGAATAAGCTAACACTCAATGCTGTTAATTAAATTAATAAAAAAAATGTTTCTTCAAATTCATAATCTAAGCTCGTATTTTTTGTTAAATTCTGTAAATTTTTATAGTTCTGAAGCTGAAAGTGAAAACTTTAAATTGTCTCTCTGATATTTAATATATTGTTATATAATATACTATTGTTATTAGCGGTAAGTTTTACATGTCTGAATAAATAAATAAATGATACACTCCTTCGGTCAATTGCTATCAGCGCCGTCTACCGATATTTTTGTTGAATCGCTGCGTTTCGTAAAGAGAGGCGACTTCACCCGGTCGAGACCGCGGTGCCAAAGTTCTTCGCCAGATGGCGCCGTCACAGCGCGCTGACCGCCTCCAAGCTCGACACACGTATCCGCACCTCCACAGATCGTGTGTCGACAAATGAGAAAAAACCTTCTCGAGGACTGCAGCCGTCGCGCCGTCCTCGCTGCTCCAGGAGCTCTGACGTTCGCTACCCGACATTGAACCGAGGGTCGAGGCGGTTCACGCACTACTAATAACATCTGGGGCACTCTTCTGCCGCTCTATTTCGGTCGAGGCGCCGCCTGGCGTGGCGCCAGTCGTCGGCCAATCGTCAGTCAGATGCACCGATTTCGAGGAGCAATACTGAATATAATTCTAGTTTTCTTAAGATATAGGTGCTACTGCAAAAATAATGCTAATAGAGAAAGCTACAGGTAAAAAAACTTCAACTCGAACTTCTGCTGCATTAGTTCACTGTTCATGTGCCTGTGAGAAAAAAATGTAGTTGTTTTCTTTTACGTGAAGTGCAAACACATCGTTTAATAGTTGTAGTCGTGGACAGAGTATATCTCAATATAGCCGTAAGAATTAAAGAGTCGAACAGTTTACCTAATACGCATTGTAAGGTGTGTTTGTGTAAGAAAACAAGCTGAATAGTCTCTATGATATATATTCGAGTGGCTACAAGGCGGCCAGCTCTTTCTTGACGGCCTGCACGTATTCCGCAGTGGCTTCGGCCAGGTCCTTGTCCCCCGCGGAGGAGTCGAACTCGGTGACGGAGGCGGCTGGGCTGCCCTCCTCTGCCTGTCGCAGCTTCAGCCGAATTTCACGCATGCGCGCCTCGAGAATGCGTTCGCGTTTGCTCTCCCGCTCGAAGATGGCCGTCAGCAACAGCTTGTCGTTCTTATCCGACTGGGTCATGTTCTGCGAGTACTCCACCATGTACACGTTTCCCTTGCGACTGCCGCACGCCGCGAAGGCACCCTTAAAGTTGATGGTCTTGTGTTTGTAATTTTATCGAGATTCACTTGGGAGCTCGAAATTTTAAAAGTTACCCCTTCGTGCATCCGCACCCGGAGCAACGGCTCCTCGCAGACCTGCATCGTTAGCACGGGCTCGTGTTGTCGCCGCAGCAGGTCCCACGTAGCGAGAAGTCCGTTCCACTGAGTGACCAGCATCAACGACAATCTGCAAAACGAGAACAAGTTAGTCTCCTCCGACCGCTTACGTCCAATGTTTTTATTTGACGTTCTCCCACCGCGTCGGACTCCAGGTGGCGGCGCTGATCTTGTATCGATGCGGCGGGGACCACACCACGGCTGACTCTCGGCAATCTTCGCTCCACACGCGCACGGTCCAGTCACCCACTGTCAAGAAGTTCTTGAGAAAGCCGGGATTACGCTCCAGCGACCAAACGGGCCCGAGGTGCGCCTCGAACTGTCGAATAAAATGCGTATTGAACGAAATTACCTCGGAGGCGAAGATGATCCCGATCACCTCACCTTCGCGGGCAATTTCTCCATGGGTGTCTTGCCCTTTCGGTTGCCGCTGATGACCAGACCGTTTTCGGTGCCCGCCATGAAACGCGTCGGTATCGTCGGTTCGTATTCGAGCGAGCTGACTCCGTTTGCGGTCGCCATCGACTGCACGTCGAAGGAGGACTTCACCACGTCCAGAATCATCTCGTCTGTCGGCTCGTTCATGTTGCGAATATCCCACCACTTGCAAGCCCCGTCCGGGCCGCTCGAGAAGAACTCTTGGCCCGACTTCGAGTTTATGAATAGGACGTTTCGCACGAGGTCACGATGCGCCACGTGCGGGGCGCACATTACGGCGGCGTCTCCGCCGATCCGCCGGTCCCACACGCCCACTTGCCCGTTCATCAGCCCACCGGCCAGCGTGTCGCGATCGCGAGGGCTGAACTGCAGGTCGAGGAGCGGGCAGGTAGGAGTCAGAGTGACCTCTGGGTTGTTTGCGTTTTCGATGTCCCAGACGAACGAGGCGGTGGAGGCGCGCGGGTAGCGATTGAAGTCGACCGCCAAGTACGCGACGGCAAAGCGGCGCCCGCCCTCCGGCTGCCAGCTCACCGAACTGATGGGGCGCGGTCCGTCGGGGTCACGGTACACGTTCACGGTTCGGCAGCCGTTGCGCTCCACGGCCGGTAGAGCCGCCATCTCCGCGTAGTACGTTCGGTACATGTCAATAGCGTTGTTTTGCAGGACATAATGGTCCATTCCCTGTGGCCAACGATATTATTGTACGGCGTCTTTACGTCAAAGGACAAGAAGATGCGAGATCACCGACCGAAGCTAGCGACATGACGCAATGTATATAGTTGTCGTCTTTTTCGATCTTCCTACGATATCGTTGCGTCGCCTCGGGGTCGACGACGTTGACGTCCTTGGGCCAACCGCCTTCGGCGTGGTTCGCTCCGGTGGTCGTGTACTCGGCTCTGCAACGGAGAAGAAAGGAGTGGATAGTCGAGGGTTTCGATGAAAAGCGGCAGATACGCCTCACCTGATGGTGTTGACGTAGTTCTCGGAGAAGCGAGGCGTATTCTGCGTGGGTTGGTGCACGGGGTTCCTAAGTATGTAGTGCTTGTGCTCTGCCGGGTTTGTGGCGATCGTGTCGCACATCTCGGGGCCTTGCTCGCAGAACAGCGGCTGCCGGCCGAAGTCACAGCGCCGCTTCGTGTAGCTGTACGTGATCTCCATGATTCGATTCCGTCTTAAACGGGTCTCAAAATATAAATATTATGATTATTATTGATTAAATATTGTACATTCGAGACGATTACGCGAGTAGCAAAGTAAATAACACATTACGGTGTCACTTCAATTTTTGAAAATCTAACTGAAGTCGTTCATTGACAGTTCCTTTCACTGACAGAAAACGAATGGCCAGTTCAATATTAAATTATTTAAAATGTGAAATGCTGCTCAAGTCAGTAAAAAAAGAAAAAACGTAAGTTAAAGCCTTAGTGAGAAAACTTATATTTCTTGCGAATGCACTAATCAATGTTAGAGTAAATTTTTAAGAATATTTTCTGTAAGTCGTTATTGAACTAAAGACTCATTTCTGGCATAAAACAATGTCAAAAAGAAAAGGGAAATAAATGAGTAAACAAAGTCAATGTGTAAAAATGGTTCTCATTCGTTCTCATCAAAATTTCTGGGAGTAGTAGTATGTATACAACTTTTTACAATTGCTTTATTAGAAATTTTCGCAAATGTATGTACACTACTGTTTTATTTTCATTATTAGGTGATTTGAGATTTAACATATATTCGTTGCCCTTGATATGTTATTGAGGAATCGCTCTTGTAACCAGGCGCGTAATGAGAGGATGGCGGCGGATCAGTTCCCGCTCTTCAAGCTGGCAACGCAGATCGCTCGGCAGATGAGCTCCCCCATCGCCTCCAGAGTCAAAGAACACGCCAAGAGCCATCCGCGCTTCGGGACTCAGGTGGATCGTGGCCGAAGCCAACTCGAACCTTCAATTCGGCCTCGTACGCGTCTTTGACACTTTGTGGATTTGTCTGTTGCGACGTGAAGGTCTGCGTGCGCGTCGCCCACCTGTACCGCACGGTCGAATGGAGCGCTCGCGTGTGGACACTCCGGCTGGCGGGCACCGCTCCTCCTTCGCTGCGCGCCGCAAAGGTCCCGCCCCTGCCTAGGCAGCAAGCCGTCGACTTGGGCGGAGACCTCATAGGTGTGACCGATTTTGCCAGTGTCCAATATAGTGAATTTGAGTAAACGTGAGTCCTCGGCTTAATCGCTTAAGTGGTATTCATTTTAGGGGAGATCGTGATCTTCGGTATCGGATCGGCTATCATAATATTCGAAGTGAACCGTCAAGCGGCCATCAAAGAGGTCAAGGTGCGAATGTCGTTCCACGCGTCGACTCTTTTTTTTCTCAGGCAGCGCGTACTTGAGTCTGTGCGCTGTGCAGGTGCTGAATCTGAAGTCGGAGTGGCTGCTCGCGAAGCTCAGTGTGGAGGAACTCAAAAGCGAAGTAGAGGCCCAGCAGCGGGACATAGATCGACTGCACGCGACGTTGGTGCAGAAGCTCGAGGCGCTCTCATCGACCCCCCAACCTCCCGCCCCTTCCGGGACTCGGCCTCACTCGCCAAACCGACGCGGGCGTGGCGATTCTTTTCGCAGTCCACCTAAGAACGAATGAAAATAGGCCGAAAATGCATTAAACGTTGGAAACTATTAAAGAGCAATGAAATTAAAGTGTTTTTTGCCACGTGTCACGGCGAGCGTTTACGCTTCAGTAGTCGATCGCAATTTTAATTGACAGTTTATTGTTAACAATGTTTCAAAAGTTGTACGTAGTACGGATTGCGATAATTATGAATGAGCGTGCCGAATCGATGTTTTGACGCATCGATTCCTTCCGGCTCAGGCGATTAGGGCGAATTAGGCTGTTCGGCGGCGGTATTTAGCTCGCTGCACTCGACGACCGCGCCACTCGGAGCGCTGCGAAGCATGTTCCTGTTGTGGTTCACCGTCGCGGCGATCGCTCTGTCTGCGACAACGGCCAAAGATGGGCCGTACCAGACGCTCGTCTACAAAGGGAATGCGAACAGAACGATCGGTATTCACCATTTATTCTACAATATTAATTTTCTTTCGATTCTGTTGTCCGCTTCTCGTGTCCCTTTCCCTAGATCAATTTCGCGTGGAACATCGTTCGTTCGTTGAATCCGTACTCGCGTTGCTTTCATTGACATTCTTCTAAGTGCCCTTTGGTTTCATACCATATGATCGCCTTATTCTGCGCTATCTCATCGCACCACTCGGCGTGGACCGATGCACCGGAGCGGGCGCGGTGGGGCTCTCTGGCGCATCGGTCTGCAATCATTACTGTTGTAATACATTATAATATTAAATATATATATTTTTTAGACTTATTTATTAATTGTCATTTCGTCGTCGACGCAGGGTTTCAAGGCCTACCGGAAAAGTCATACATAAACGAGGGGCAATGTACGGGATACCTGAGCGTGGTAAAGATATACGTTTTTATTTTCTTGTCGTGTTTTCCGCGTTTCGCTTCAACGACCGTCCGTTTCAGCCGGAGTGCTCGGTCAGCAAGCCGAGGGCGGTGAGGGTGACGGTGCTGGACTTCGCCCCTTACGCGAACGTCAGCGTGGAGCCCGATCTCTCCAGCGTCTACATCTATCGCTCTGCGGGCCGCCGAGGACGGGGCCCGCCTTGCAAGGGTAGGGCGGCCGTGATCTTGGAGACCGCTTGCGTGTAGCGCCTCAAACCCCATAACGCGTCCCAGGCGGTCCAGTAGTAGTGGGAACTCCAACTGATTTGAAATATATGTTTCATATTCATTATATTCTTGCATTTGATGACGTGTGAGTTTTATTTTAGTTCTTCGTTTATATCTATGAGTATGTTCATTCGGTTACGGAGCGACGGGGTTGTTGGTTGTAGATACCTTTTTCATAATGTTAGTTCGTTTAACGTTATAAAAAGGTTTATTTCGATTCGAATATAATTCAGAACAATGGGCCGAAATGAATGGACGTTCAAAATTAAATCGCACAAATAATAATTTACTGCGCGCTGTTATCGGGAATCGAGACAAATGAATGCATATCATTATCGACCACGCTCGATTATTTTGTCCAAAAGCTATCATATAAGCCGCTCCGTCGCATCTCTTGTTATTTATATAAAGTAAGATATGTTTTGATCTATGCGTACGAGGCGAAGACAAAGAAAGAGTCTAAAGCTAAGTTGAGGCTTCGCTGCGGAAAAGCCGGCGCAGCGTCTGAAGGGGGAAAAAACGCGAGATCGACAGAAGGCGCTCTCGTCGTGTTCTAGTCCTAGTTTTGCTCGATCTAGATTCTAGAACAAGTGGAAAGAACGACGATTAGAAAACGTGTCCTTTATTATTAATTGAAGTAAGTCGTAGTTCAATTTCGTAGTTGTGATTTGATCAATTAAAAGGAAAAGAAAACTTGGTATGTTAAATAAATTCACGCGTATGCTGAGAGATAAGTGTAAATAATTTTCGTCTGATAATAATTGCCAAGCGAATATGGAAATCCCACCTGAGCACTAGAGCCGATAGTGGAGTCCACTGCGGTCCGCATCGCTCGCCCCCTTTTACAATAGCACTGGGCCTAATCTCATTTCTGCAGAGTTAAACTTCTCATATTCTACTTAAACCTATCCGAACGTTTGTCGCGCATTATGTCGATCGGTTGAGCATTTTTTCATAGAGAGAGATAGAGACAGTATAACCGCCTGACTTATAACCCAACTATGCTTACGTCGTGATTATTTTTCGTTTTATTCAATTTTCTTACCTTCGTTTGACCAAACTCGACTTAGGTATCGTTATTTTTAACGTTAATTCGGAATGCACTAGAGACTTCTTTTTGTGTACCACCGAGGGTTAGACTTGTAACGCTCACAGCTAATTAAACTAGTCGCAAGGTCGTTTATTATTGTCGATATATATTGCCAAAACGATTTTGTCGCGAGACGAAAAAAAGACTAGGCCCTCGTAATTTCTATTTATTATCTCCTAACAAGAAGTCACACGTGCCTCGACGGCTCTTTACGGCGAATCTCGTGAGTGTCACCGATTATGCGCGATGAATATGCGAGCGGGCGCCTCGGCCGCTTAGCCGCTCGCGCCCTCCTTAAGCTGTACGCTCGGTTTAAACCTGTACGATCTTCGCGCAAGTTTTGCATATTTAGAGAAAGAGGCGAGTCCTGGCCCCGACCGCATTAATGATCTAAAGCAGACATCCACAGCACAAACCGAAACGGAGATCTACCCCTTTACGACTCATTGCTATGCGTGCGGCCGAATAATTGCAAGGAATTAACGCGAGCGAGGCTCGGATTACATTATACTATGTCAGCGCGGATGAAGTGTGCGCGTCCCAAAGATTATGAAGTCGACTTCCCCACTTGATCGATGTATTTTGGAGTTGGGCTCGGGACTTAGCGATCATTGTTGTCCCAGCTCGCTATCATATGATGAACGTATCATATGCGAGTCGCACGAGCAAAGGCAGCAAGAGGCCTTTCTCTTTACCATGACGTGCCATATAATTGATTCCCGATAGAGACGAGTAAAGGGATGAGCGTGATGTATTTCGTCGTTTGCCGGCCGGAGCCAATCTCTGATGTGCCTCGATGAAACGCCTTTCGCCGCATCATTTGTGTCTCGGGAAATAAAGTAGTGAATAAAAATATCTTCGATGTCCATGCAGATTGCGGCACTCTATATATAGAAAGTATGTCTATAGACGCATTTTCGACGTGTTAGCTTTACCATTAGGTTGCGCGTATCGCAATAACTCGGCTAATCGAGCCGTCGGAACGAGAATAAGGATCGCGGACACGAAGAGAAAAAGGGGAGGGTTCCCTAAATATGCAAAATACGAGGAACCGCTTCCATTAGTGCTCGGGTGAGGAGTTAAATATTCAGACGCGTGAGAGTCGGGCTCGTCTCGCCTCCGAATCGGAAAGCTGTTATCATTAGCAAAAAGCACTAATTGGCCAACTCAAGCCGAATGGAGGAATCCACATCTAAGCTAAATCCGCGTAAATGCGTCTTTCCGCTCCCGGTTTTGTCTCAGTTATAGCCTACATTGGTAATATTGATCTAAGAAAAATCAACAAACGTAAGAACAATAACCCAACCTAACCTAGACGTCCTGATGAACCTTAAAGCTTGCTAATCGAATCGCTAATTCCGATTCATCAATTTAAAAGTTGAAAAATAATAATATAAAAATGCACTGCATTGTAACATGTTATTATTAATTAATTATTCATGATTAACGACATTACGACCGAACCGTATAAACATGGCGTGGGGGTGGGCGTGGGAACGTTAATGAGAATATTATTATCATTGTTCCTCGGGAATACGTGCTTTCGACGCCGATCGTATTATTTCGTGAATAAACAACCAGAGAGTCTACGAATGTCTATGGGCGTTCGTGATAAGCAAATATTAATTGGTTGAACTTTTGACTCGGTAGGCGAGTTGTTCGCAATAAAATAATAACGTTTTCGGGGGTAGTTGTGTATTTCTTCGGCAGCCGTGTTTTTTCGCGATGCGACTTGACGCCCGGATTGCGTCAGCGCGCGCTGTCAGACGTCCTTCGGTGGCACTCGTGCGAGTCGGTTGCGCACAGTTCTAGTTGTCGTGTGTGACTGCCAATTGGTGTGATTAAGTTTTGTCCAATTAATGGACTCCATGTAGTTATGTTGCCTCTTTGCCACGATGACAGCATACGTAGCTCTGGAGGCGGCCACTGGACCAGAGGTAAGTACTTAGGGAATAGAACTCAGTTAGACATTTGCTGCGTTGAAGGTGTGCCTACTAACTATATTCACCGTTCGATCAGCGCATGTTTCAAACTAACGTATTTATTATTATTTTCAGTGATTTAATATCAGGGCATTTTTTTATAATAGTGTAATCGTGATTTTAGTCGGGTTAGGTGTCATGTTATCTTATTTTTAAAGGTAAATTGTTTTTAATGTTTTTTTTTATGGCGGATGATTTCCGAAATATTTATTTTTTGATAAAAAATGTGAGTTAAGTATTTGAAAAATGCCGCGTGGTGGCTGCCGAAATCGCCGGGACGGAAGCGTTGTGAGAGGTGTAGAGGTCACAGGGGCAGGAATTTTCCCACTACAAAAAAAACTCAAATATCCTTCTGGACGAGTCTCTCGGCCAAGTATACCTTGCCATTGAGAATGTGCACGAAAAGGACGGTTATGTTGTCACCTAAAAATGATAGTGTCAACGAAATGAACGAACTATTTTTTCTAAACGTTCCTGGACAAATAACAATTTACATACATACAAATGCATTACATTACATTTATATAGATTATTGAAAATGTACGTAATAGGTATTGCATTTCAACTTTATTATTAGTTAACGGAAATCAAAACTATTGTGTTTCTGTTATTGTGTAATAACACGCGGTAAAGATGGCTTCTTTTTTCGATGTCCCTAATGTGCTGTAGGAGATAACATGTGTTCTCTCTCATCGCTTAGCTTTGTCTGGCAAATGTGTAAATCGCGTGCGAGGCTGTCTTCACAAAATAAAGGCCTCGCTAAGTGTTCACGTCTTTATTACCTGGCCTACTCGATCTGCTAAAGTTAGTGTTGTAATAATATGTATCAAATTATGTGGAGAAAGGAAATTAACCGATTTTAATTACTCACAGACAATAACTCACACAAAAATCAAGAAAAGATAGTAACAAAAACAATACAGATAAGCTCCATGACATAAATTGACAAAAATAATAAACCTAATAAAGTTTTTATTAATAATAATTACTCTACGTATCAAAAAGAAATACCACCCTTCGCACCCTTCGACGCCTGCGTATGTCTTTGTTGGCCTTCTGGTTTCCATTCTGTTATTACACCCGTCGATTCGATCCTGGTATCACTTGTCACCCATAAAAAATAAAGCATTGCATTTAAACTTGCATGGGTGCCTATTTTTATTTCTAATTGAGCTTATTAAAAATTGCGTCCGACGAGCGATGAATCCGAATTCCGAAGCCGCAGTGGGGTGAGAGTTCCTAATATCCGGTCTCGGCCCTCGCGCCTATAGGGGGGGGGGGGGATTCTGGCCCTCCCGCTCATTAATATCGCATTCTGTCATTATTATTTTACATAATGGGAGTGATCCGAGTGACTGGTGCAATAGAGGTTCTCCAAATACCTTTATCATTACTATAGAATTCCCGCCCTTGAGAATCTAAGAAGATCGGAAACCAATACGCGAATGTATGCTTCGCTGTTTTCTAATGGTTATGAAAATGTAGTTTTACACTTTGAGAATCCTATTAAGACTATTTGTTCCAAATAAGAGCGCGTACGGACGAGATTAGCGAATAATGAATTAGAGCGCGACTCGGACGAAGGAAACGGCTACAAATGAATTTGCATCAAGTCTTCTAACTTCGCCTGAACTTGTAATCGGTGGCATTGTGGAATGCGGGCGGAGGAAATGTTGTGTTCGGGGCCTATTCTCACAGACTCGCTCGTTTCCGGTCTATCTAGGTCACTTAATAAATCACAGGTAAAATAAAATAATCACTTTACATAATCGTATAATTAATATTGTATATAAGTAGTTAGTCGCCGGGCGCTGCGAGTCCAGTATTTTCAAATCGTGCACAATGAAGTGTCGCAGAAGAGAAGAAGTAGAGAGACGTGAATATATTTCCCGCGCAAAAGGAACCTTGCCGTTTCTCAAAGTTTGCATTTACTTGAGGAACATCGCTTTGTTCTCAAAAACAAAAGCCACAACTACTCGTTCCTGCGGCTTTCTCGAAATCGCGATTGTCGGGCCTCAGATTCGACTGTGAACTGAGTCGATACAATAATAGGCACGGCCTCGTGTCGCAGTGCCCGTAATTCCGACTCTGGCGCCGCCGTCTTACATAAACAACTCACTCCCACAACAATATGCTCGACACATCCATTTCTGCTTTTGACAACATCTCACTCGAACCACTCAAAGACATTCCTATCGTTTATTAACGACAACCTTCGGCGTCGCAGCGCAAAAATCGCCGAATCGGCGCTCCATCACCGGCCGCGCTGAGGGGTGACTCGCTCAGAGAGCAACGGAGCCGGCGATGTATGCGCCGAAGCGGAGGGCGCGTAGCGTCGCGTCGAGCGAACGAGGGGATAAGACGCGGTTAAGTGCGGGAGAGGCTCGTTGGGAGTATCAAACGGCCCTCGAGTTAAACTGTCGGCGCTTCGCAGATACATCGCACGAATAATACGGGCGCGGGTCTCGTTCGAGTGTCGCGCTGATCTCAACTATTTATTTAACTTACCTTTCGGTTAACCGATCGATCGACGACTCTCCTAAAAGTCCACAAGTTTAAATCTGAAGTGTCGGCGAAGATGGCAGCGGTCGTGGGTAATTTGGGCAATCGGAACGTGAGCGCTCTATTTCTCCGTCTCTCCCTCTGTAGGTATCGCTCAGCCGTCCCGAGACGTGCGATAAGTAAAGCCTTGAAATCGCCGCTTCGCTCTGAGGAACCCCATTTCTACCAGTCGACCGTGTTATTCTTTAAAGTCTATTTCACGAAACCTGTTTTTCCTTTTCTTCTAATATTTTTAGGAGGTCGCAAATTCCGGGAATTCTGAGCGGTTCGTTAAAGTTGAATCTGTATTCTCGGAGCGCGCTCGATGCACTCATACTTTTGAAATTGTGTTGCAGAACGTCGATCGGGTCGATCGGCTTCGACTTTCGAGGATACGGGACGAAACAAAGTTCATAGCTGAGCGCATTAAACGTAGCATTATTTTTAAATAGTTTAATCTTTGCTCGAAACCGAACCTTTGCTTAAGGGCGGCGTCGATCTTCTTCTTCTATCATTAGTTCTAAGCCGAAGTTCACAGTTTTCCATTCCATATTAAGTAAACGCTCATCGAAAACGAAAAAGGTATGTACATTTTTAGAGCGAAGAGCATTACGTCGCGGACTTTATTTAGATCATTTAAAAAAGAATAATTCATATTTTTTGGGTATCTTGAACTGTTTTCGCAGCATACTCATCGGAAATCCACATTTCAGGCTATTTCTTCGCTCCTAGCTATTTTTAGCCTTCCTCGATAAATTTTTGACTTTGACTCAAAATTTGCTTTTTATCTTTACTGGCGCTCTACTACCCCTTGTCGTATTTGTAATAAACTTAAAAGTTCATCGTTCAGTGTTTGTTGACGCAACGAGTTGTTCCCTCGACATTGCGTTGTTTGTCGCGCTTGCTTCCTGAGTCCTCGCTGCTCCGGAGGCGTCGATCAATCGCGATCGAACGTGTTAAGGTGTTTATTCAACATTTTTACTTACAAAGAGGTATTTGTTCGAGTGTTTTCAGGCGCTTTTCTTATCCTCAGCGAAGCTATCTAATTTACATATCCTCAGAATATTAAATGGCGACAAGTGTATTTTGTATTAAATGAATATTGACTTTGTCTTGGTGAACACCGAATTCTTGGCTCAGTTGTAGGGGTTTTAACTTATCTCTTTAACGCAACACATAAGTTTGGGTCCACATTGGATTCCAAAGACACTCGGTAGGGCCAGGCTTGTCACCGATCAACGATTCAACATCGTATAGCCACTAGTCAACAATGATCCCGAAATGTTGAAACTTCCACGACGCAGAGTTCTAAATACCGTGATATGCTGCAGTAAATTTGGGCGTTA